CGGGAGCTGAAGCCGCAGGGTCCCGCGAGGACGCCCAGGGGAGGCCTCTGGAAGGGGGCGTGTCCCCTTTGCCCCTTCTCTCCTGCAGCCACGCAGTCTCCCGCGCAGTTCTCTGCCCGTGGCGCCTACTAGGGGGCCAGCTAGGAAGCAGAGGCCTGGCCCCAGCACCAAACGCAGAACTGGCACAGGGCAATTCACAGATATGGCAAAGACTGTGAGACAGGACCCCGATTTCAAGTTTGGAAAACAGTTTGCTAAACCCCGAGGGGAGTCCATCTTTGTCCTTCTATGCCCTGCAAAACCTAACAAATATTTCATAACCATCTTAATGATCTGAATTCATTCTTCTACCAAGATTGAAGTCAAGATCTGTCTTATAATTCTGACTGTCACTTAACAGTTGTGTGACTGGGGCCTGTCATTTCATTGCTATGAACTTCAGTTTCCATATTTTTCCAAAATAGGGAAAACAATACTTATTCCACAGGGCGGCAGCGATGATTTGAGAATGAAAGCTTAGTGTGGTGCTTGGCACATAGTGGAGAAGATATTCAAAAACATCTGTTCACCCGGAGTATGCAGCCAAATATCCCCCTGTAAACTGTTTGTCAACCGTTTTCAATATTAATAAGTTCCAGGGTCCCTGGAAATCTTTTAGGCTGAGCTGTTGTTCTTTATTTCCCAAGAGTGGACGCTAGCGGAAGTCTGCAGTGCTCCCTGACCCCCGACCCCAGCAGAGGCAAGGGAGGCCCAGGCGAGGTCGCGGGTGACCCCCGCTGAAACCCCCGGGAGCGCAGGCGACGCACGCACGCACGCACGCACGCACGCACGCACCCCTGGTGAAAGCGTCCTCCGCTCTGCTGAGGCACTTTTAATCTGCTGGGTCTCTAGGACGCTCGGTTAAGTGCCGCATTCTGGGAAGTGGGGAAGGAGCCTCAGATTTATAAAAGGGTCCCGGAAAACGTGCGGGCAGGGCTGGGGTGAGGCAGAGGGCCTGGGCAGTGCTGCCTGGAAGGTGGCCTCTGTCCTTAGGGCTCTCCCCAGCCAACGGGAGACCGAACAGGGCCTTTAGGAGCCCTGGGGAGAGACTGCTGACAAGTTAGGACACAGTTGCTGAAGGGCATTTAAATACTCTCCACCTTTGGTGTCCCCAGGACCCGGCTCCCCCAGAGTTAGGATTCCCTCTTCCACAGGGACAGTCTTCAGGCCTTGCAGTGACCTCATAACTGGTCCCTTCGCGAAAATCCCATGTGACTGGCTCCTGAGTAAAAGCCGATCTCGGAGCCGCTAGCCTGTCTCCGGACGGAGCTGCAGAGGTCGCGCTCGTCCCGGAGGCCGCAGTGGATGTTCTCGGGGCCGACTGCCCGTCCCCAGCCTCCTTCCTCAGCGCCAGACGCGGCGCCCAGTCGCCGGCCCCTCTCCCGAGTGTCCCCTATGGACACGTCTTCTCGAGGCCGGGGCAGGTTCTGGTCATCCTCCCCCCAGCTCTTAGCCGGGCGCCAGAACAGACGGAGGCTGCAGGTGCCAGCAGAGCCTAGCCCAGAGGCCTGGGCTGGCCGGCGCGAGCCGGCGCGGTTCCCCGCCGCACGGTGGTGGGCGCGGCGACTGCCCCTCGCAGGCGCGAGCGTGCTGGACTTCCCGCCACAGCCGTTTCCGGATCCGTTCCGCCCAGGCCCAGGCGGCTAAGGACTGAAGCCCGCCTTCGCGGGTCGGAGGGCGCGGGCGGGGCGGGCGGGGAGACGGGACCGGCGCTCCCCGCGAGCCCGGCCGGCGCCTACCCGGAGTTTGCGCGCTGGTGGCTTCTCCGTCCACAGTGTCACATCCCCGCGCGCCCGGCGGGCAGCTGCGCGCCACCAGCCTGGTTTCCCAAAGGGCCGTGCGCAACCTCCGGCTGAACGCGCGCCCGGGCGGGGCGCGGGGCTGCGGGGCAGCTCGCCGCGGGCGGGGCCCCGGGTGGTGCGGGCGGGAGCGCGGTGGCGGCCCCGGGGCGAGCCCGAGGGTGGGGCGCGTCACGTGACAACGGGTGGGATGCGGCGGCCGGGGACAGGCGGAGGCTGGGGGCCAGTTTTAGGAAGGTCTCTCTGGCACCTGGCGGCGGGGCGGGCGAGAGCCGGTCCGAGGCGATTTCGGAAATGCGAGAAAGGGAACGGCCGCCTACGGCGACGGCCGCGGGGACGGGCGGGGCAGGTGCTGCGGCTCGGGGACGAAGGGGACGGGGCAGAGATCCTGAGCCTTCGATTCTCCGGGCCCTCCCGGCGAGGGCTGCAGGGGCAGCCTGCCCCACATCGCGCTTCCCTGGCCCGAGGGCTGCGTCCTCAGGAGTCTGTCCGCCGGCACGGCGATGCGGGGAGGACCGCGATGCGGCGAGGACCTGACGCGCGGCCATCTGCTGACCAGCCTGGAGCCCGCGAGGTCGCCGCGGCCGTGCTGGCAATGGAGCCACAGAGCTCTGCGACGCGCCACCAGGCTGCACGGGCCCCTCGCCCGGCGAAGCCCTGCATGCCTGTCTTGAGGACATTCGAGGCTGGTGATATTTTAGCAGAAATCCTGGCCACCCCCCTCCACTCCACCTCCCTCCCCTGCACTTGGAATAAGAACTGGAATCATTTCAGGTCCAAACGATGACGACCAAATAAAACCCACCGTGAGCTGAGCCAGAGCTGAGCCCTCACTGTGCGTCCGGCTCTGTGCTAAGCATTTTCCAGCGTTGTCTCTTGTAATCCCCATTTCATTTTTTGGGAGGCCTGGCCAGCACTACCTGTAAAACTGAACTATTATTATTAAAGTGTTTAAATTGACTCAAATCTTAAAGATGCTACCTCAAATCATAGGTTTGCTGCGCGATGTTTTACTATTAATATACAGTACCTATATGAATCTTTTTTTCAAGACAGAGTCTCACTCTGTTGACCGGGCTAGAGTGCCATGGCATCAGCCTAGCTCACAGCAACCTCAAACTGCGGGGGCTCAGGCAATCCTTCTGCCTCAGCCTCCCTAGTAGCTGGGACTACAGGCATGCACCACCATGACCGGCTAATTTTTTCTATATATGTTTTGTTGGCCAATTTCTATTTTTTAATTTCTATTTTGGAGACGAGGTCTTGCTCAGGCTGGTCCTGAACTTCTGAGCTCAAGGCAATCCTCCTGCTTTGGCCTCCCAGAGTGTTATGATTACAGGCGTGAGCCACCACAACCAGCCTCTCCGGAATCTTAAAAGGTATTACTTGCCTATTTTCTGTAAGAAACTTTTCACAAGCTGAAACTTGAGTGATTTCAGAGCCACGAACGCCTGTAATCCCAGCTACTGGAGAGGCTGAGGTGGCAGGATCACTTGTGCTCAGGGGTTTGAGTACTACCTGGGTCAAAAAACAAGTCCTCGGTCTCAAAAAAAAAAAAAAAAAAATGGCTCCAGCTATAGTCCCCACACATTTTAGGCCCACCTCCAATTCACTAAGGGTAGGGCTGTCATATAGCCACCCCAAAGCATAATAGGGAAGAGGATTATCAGCCTAATAGTTACTGAGCATTAATCTAGGGACCAATGGGCTGACTTCAAAACTACCATGCATATTGGTCAGACTCTAATTGACCCAAACTGTCTTCCCAAATCCTACTGCACTTGTAAACAGCAACAAGTTATCTATTCATGGGCAATGTATGGGAATACATGTCAAATATTAACATACCATGCTTTGACACAAATATCTGTGCAGACAGAGCACCAAGCTCATCTACTTTGTGCTACCATTTTCCTAACTGGCTGATTTTACAATGTAGTACAACTCATTGTATTTGTACCTGACAAGGAGCACATACCACTAATTTGTTTAAACAAAATTAACTCCATAACCAGTTCATGGAGCAGGAAAACAATATTTAGTTCACTAAAACTTTCAGAGCAAAATGCAGGACTGATTCCAAGAACTCACAGGATGGTATATTCTACTTGTAAATAATTGGTCCACATCAGATTCTAGAGGGTAACATAACTTCCTCTTTCCCTTTTAAATTGTTTTTCAAGAACAGGCCTAATTGTCCCTTTGCACTGCAGAAACTGGACTAAACAGGTTGGAACACTGAACAACTGCTACTGGCTTTTAGGAACCAGTATTGACAAAATACTGAGCAACACCAGTGTTCACCAGCAGCTTATGTAAAGGATCACACTAAAAACTAGGCTGCCCTGTTGAATATCAGAATCAGGCTATTAAAATGAGTCTGTTCTCGGCCTACTAACATTTTAGAGTCCAGGAAAGTTTTAAACGCTCAAATGTTAGAACTAATGTCAATACATTAGGGATGTGTTACAGGTCTTAAAGTGTTCACTAGCCTCACTTCATTCACATTAATCATTACAATGCCAAATAAAAGAGAACTAAGAATCAATCATTGATGCTTAAATAACTTCAGGGTTGACAGCATCTTAAAATACCCAGATCTCCAATGCAGTTAATTTTTAAGCTAAAGATTGTTACATTTTCATTTGTTACCATTTTTATCACTGTTTTATCATTGGGTGTGGGGCAGATGGGAGGGGGGAAGGGATGGGTGTATATATATCCACACCTAATGGGTGCAGTGGGCACCATCTAGGGGATGGACACACTCAAGGCTCTGACTCCAGTGGGGCAAAGGAAATACACATAACCTAAACATTTGTACCCTAGTAATATGCTGAAATTTTTAAAAACAAACATGTAAAGTTGAATTTACTTACACAGATTCTACCAAGTGTGATCCTGTTGACTAAGTTTGAAAATTATTGGTTTAGAACAGAAAGAAGAGTTAAGATCATCTGGTTTTGGCAAAGAGATTTACTATCTGCAAGTTCTAAAAATTTAGAAATGTGAGTACCCTTGTTTCTTTTCCATATCAAGCTTATACTTTCTCAATCTCTCAATTGTCTTGTCTCAAATATAAGGTGACAAAGCATTTGATACTAAAATTATTTTGAATATGAATTATATTGATAAGGTTGATAATAAAAACCAAAAAGCAGGTATAGTTTAATGTATTTTAGTAGCAAACTTACAGGAACAGCACAGAAGACAGACAACATTAAAAACATGTACTTGCATGTAGGACAACTCAGTTAGAAAAGTATAGTGAATGGATGGAATCTACTGTATGATAAAAATGCTACAAACACCATTTAGTTGCTGTCAATAAGAAATTTACTTGTTTTAAAAAAATCCAAATGCTGGCATTGTCCAGAAAAATTTAACAGGTTTATTTATAATTGTTATAAAGTTGAACTGCTGAAACTTGTTCACTGAAACATTTGACTTGCATTACTGCTTCACATCCTGCATTTACACAAATGAAAATGGAAAAACTGCCAATACCTGATTTCTGTCCCCTATTTTTCCACTTGAAATCATATACTTAGGTACCTTTTGACCCCATGGGGAAAAAAAAATCTAACGTTCAGAACTACCAATAACAGGAAGAAGAGAATCTTTTTTTTTTTGAATGAAATGTTTTCCCATCATAGTGGATTCTTAAGCACGTTCTCCACGTATGCGGCGTGCTAGCTGGATGTCTTTTGGCATAATTGTTACACGTTTGGCATGGATAGCACACAGATTGGTGTCTTCAAAAAGGCCAACCAGATAGGCCTCACTTGCCTCCTGCAACAGTAATGAAGAAAACATTATTAATGGTGTTATTTACAACAGCTAAGACACACATATGAATTAAAACAATGTTTTTGAACCCTTTAAAAACCTACTTCACAGGATGTTGACTATTTTACCAAACATTACATTCTATAACCTATGGAACAAAACTCAGAAGGCAGCTTATGAAAATCAAAAGCTCAAGTATGTAAATCTTTATCAAATTACACAAGTCAAATTATTAGAAAATACGAATTTTTCTCATGTTAATTGATTTCTAATAAATTGAAATGTCTTAAGTATGAAATCCAACTTAAACTCTAATGTTCTCATCCTTACAAAGATAAATGGAATCATACGGAATCCAGACACCCCACAGCAAGCCAGTCTCCCCCTTACTCTAAATCCCACTCACACCCCAATATCTGAGCCTTTGCCTTGCTGAGTATGGCCCGCATCTACCTTCAATTTTACACCTCAGTTTTATCACAAGAGTACTTACATGTCCCAGAATACATCACAGATTAGTCCCTTATTTATATACTTTGATCTATTAGGCCTAGGAGAGGTGCCCCTGGCCCTTACTAAGCGCGTTCCCCAACCTGGCATTTCCTGCCCTCTGAGACTACTAATATTGATCCCTCTGGTTTTCCCCATTTGATTGTAAGATCCTTTTTAAGGTATCTTCTTAAGCCTACCACCACTCAAAAACTGCTAGCTCTATTGATCAATCATTGACAACTGGCATGTGAAGTGAAAAGGGGGCATTTCCATAAATCAAATTGGCTGTCTGAGAAGTTGATGAATCTTTTAGTCTAAATAAAACATTTGCTTACGTATTTTGTGAAGAAATTACCATTTTGTTTTAATAGTCATCAACCCAACTGTTTTCTCTCCTCTAAAAGGAAAAGTTATTTTTCTATTCAAAGTATATTTAGAGAGAAAAAAGAAAAAAGTATATTAGGGAGAAACAATAATTGCTAACTTTTATCCAAATAAAAAGCATTAACACAGCAACTAATCCAAATGTTTTACATTATTTCATTTTATGGAAAAAATATTATATTCACATTTATACCTTCACTCTTTTTAGCATTCCATAAAATGTCTTCCTCTAGTACTTATTATCAAGAACTAAGTCTTGTTTACCTACCTTTTAAGGTTTAGTTCAAAACTAATTCCACAAAGGAGAAAGCAAATATTCTACTTGTTCCTGTTCCCAGCACAGGTAACCTTGAACTCCTAATTCCTAACGCATACTGATGACCTTGTATTGCAGCCATCTATAATGCCCTTAAGTTACTTGGTAACAGAAATCTCATTTAATACTCACAATGTCTTGCCTTCAAGTAGATGTTCAATATTTGCTAGTTTTTTATGTCTAAGCCAAATTTACGTTTCTATTCTATGCAATTAGTCCCTCATATCTTACCTATTTCAAAGGTATTACAAGCAAAAGTCTTTAATATTCAGGGATTCATTCTTGGGACATTTAAGAAGTGGGGGAAAAAGTCAACAAAACTGGCATATTTTAGTCTCCTCTTTTGGACTCATAATACCCACTAGGTACTAGAACTGAAGTTTCTCAGCAAAGAAAGTTCAATTTTGTTTAACCCAGTACCTCAGGATTATGCAAACCTATAATGCTTTTGTCAAATGCTGCATTACAAGCTGCAGGGTGGACAAACCATCAGGTTCCATGGCTCTGAGACTATTTAGAGTGGTATCATCCACTGGCTCACGCAGGACACTACTGAGATATGGCATGGGGCAGCTGGAGATCTCACTGCTGTCTTAAAACTTGGCTATTCTGTGTCTGATCACCTCTGGGAAAAGAGTCAATACCCAGGTGTTTGACCATGACCCATACATTTTCAATTCTATTACCAGTATCTGAAAGTCCCTTAAACATTAAGGCTGTAATGGGAATTAAAGACTGCCACATAAATTTATGAGCTAATGAATATAATCAATCTTGAGGTAACGCCAGAAGAAAAAAACATCTTACTAAATAACTAAAGGAAAATGTTCATTTAGAATACTGAGTGTATTCAATGTCTGGCTCTTCTACCATTCCCAAACACCACTGTCCATTTAAAGATTTATTCTACTTTATTTTTTAAGAGACAGGTCTCACTATGTTGCTCACACTGGACTCAAACTCTTGAACTCAACTGATCCTCCTGCCTCAGCCACCCAACCAGCTGGGATTACAGGGGCAGGCCACCACACCCAGCTCCACTGTCCACTTTTAACACAAGGATATTCAAGTTCAAGCTCTCACACATTAAAGGCAAAGAGGCTAAAATTGTAAGCTAGTTAATTCTTGTTCATCTGTGGCAAACTCAGACTAACTTCTCTACTACTCTCACTGGACTGCTTCTCATCCTTCAGTTGTAAATTATGTAATTCTAAAGCCAAAAATAGTGACTTGGAATTCAAGTGGTGTCTTCTATTACCTTTTTTTTTTTTTTTTTTAAAGAGACAGGGTCTTGTTCTGTCACCTGGGCTGGAGGGCAGTGGCACAATCATTGCTCACTGCAGCTTCGAACTCCTGGGCTCAAGGGATCCTCCTCTACCTCAGTCTCCTGAGTAGCTAGCTAGGCCTACAAGTGCCTGCCACAGTGTTCAGTTAAAAAAATTTTTTTTTGGTAGAGACAGGGTACTAAGACTATGTCACCCAGGCTGGTCTAGAACTCCTCAACTCAAACAATCTTCCCACTTCAGCCTCTTCAAAGTGGCAGGATTACAAGTGTGAGCCACTGTGCCCAGCCTATTTACCCTATGTCTATTAGCAAATCCTCCCTTTAACCTTTAAGAGCAAAACCTTTTACAAAACAAAAAAACCCAACGCTTGTAACAAAGATTACTCTTTCCAATAAAGACAAGAGCTATCTAATGCTGAGACCTAATGATAGGCAGCAGAAGTGAACATTTTGCTCAAAACCAATAGAACCACTTAATGACATATAACTTAAAAACAGCAACAACAGAAGTTTACACATGATAGTTTTAATTTAAAAGATTACAGTCCTTTACCCAAATTGTTTAGTAATTTTTCAATTTACAAGGTTGTCTTACTGACATTTAAGCTAAAAAATGCTAGACTTTCAAGTACAGCATTGTGTTTAGTATAGTCCTGCTACCTAATTAGAAAACAAAATTAGCTCATTTGTATCAGTAGTGCTTGGGAATCTTAGTAATAATCTCTGTATCAGGTTATAAATGAAATGGGAACTGAAGATAATTATTAAAACAAAAAATAAAGTTTTAAGTAATAGCATGGAAAGATTTTAGTAGCTGAAATTTCAATAATTTCAACTCACTGATAATTTAATGATGTCTACTCCTGGAATTCACCAATCAAATGAAGTTTCAACTAACCATAGAAACAGCTCAACCAATTACATTTCAGGGTAGAATCCACCTATCAAATCTTTCTCACACATAAAGCAAAAGCCCAGCACAGCAACAGCAGCCTTGAAAATCTTCCAATGGAGCCTATGGAGATTCTAGCCCCCCCCCCCAAGAGATTCTGATTCAAGTCTGCAATGGTGCCTAACAATCTACATCTTTAACCACCACTAACCCCATGCTTCTGATGGAGGTGGTGGTCTTACTAGTTTTTTGAGTACTTGCATCTAAATCCAACCACACAATAAAACAAAGGTCATTTAAGCAACTGATGTTAATTACACTGGCATAGCTTATCAAATATCTTATGGGAATTTCAAGTTTTATCTTGATTATTATAAGCCATAAATATTTCAAATAAACATTTCTAGAACAGTATTTCTCAAAGTCCTGACACAAAAGAGATTTAGATTAAATTCAATACACTCCCCAATTAAACTGAAATTCCTAATCCCTTTTAGCAAACTATAAGTCTTCAAATTCTTATTCTTTCACATGTCTAGTCCCATCTTTAAGGACCTTTCCTATCTTGTCAATCCAATCCTAACCACCACTCACTGCTCCTTTCACCTTAATATATAATTCTTTAATGCTGCCTATTCCCATCCAGGATATTCACAACTACAAATATAGACCTCTAGAGTCCCATCTTCTTAGTGTCCTGCAGCATCCATAAACCAAAGTAGAGTGTTTTCTTTAAACACTGGTTCGGGTGCAATGTTTAAAATGTTATAACAATGTTGTAACTAGGCTTTGGAGTCAAATGGGTTCAAATTATGATTCTGCCATTATCTATGTTTGACCTTGAGCAACTTAACCTTTCCGAAGTCTTTTCAGTGAAACAATAATATCAAATTGCCTCACAGGCTTGTGATGACTAAATTATATAAGCATACATAAAGATTTAGAATTGTTCTTGGTATATAGCAGGAACACAAACTCTCAGTCTCTCCCCCCTACACACACCATTTTACCTGCAAAGCACCAATAGCTGCGCTCTGGAAGCGCAGATCTGTTTTGAAGTCCTGAGCAATTTCTCGCACCAGACGCTGGAAAGGAAGTTTGCGAATCAGAAGTTCAGTGGACTTCTGATAACGTCTAATTTCACGGAGTGCCACTGTACCAGGCCTTTAAAAAAATTAATAAAGGAATTGTTATTAAATATATCACACGAAAGGATAAGTGGTAAGCTTTAAAGAAAATTAATTAAAAAAACCCAAAACCACTCAACCATTCTTCTGCTCCATTATTAAATTTCACTGGTCAATTTATGACCTGAACATTCAAGTCTATTAAGAGTAACAACAATACCTTTAAAGCAAAAAGCATGAAATTACAGTAGATTCTTAGCAAGGAGTTTATCAAAGCCCTATTTTCATTTTTTAACTTGTACATATACACGCATATAAAAATCATCAACTTCTGTTAAGAAGGTATTGGTTGTCACACCACTAATAAAGAAGTTGACTCTTCTCAATTTAGCAGCACTCTCCCTTCCCACCTGCACCCTCAATTTTAATAGCCCTTAAAGGCCAACACAATTCAATGAACTTCATTAAAAAATACACTGGTATTTAAGTTGGATTTCCCAGAATACCTTTACTCTTTGACTACCATCATCCCTCGTGCATTATTAAATTTAAATATGCCTGACTGTGCAGTGTTCCACATGGAAGAGTAAGAAATTTACCTCTTAATTCTTAATTATTTCTTCCACTGTATGGGCTTTTATTTTAGGTTAATTGTATAATTTGCAGAGGCTACCTAAGTATGGACAACTTCTGCCCTCTAATGGCAGATTCCCTTAACAACACTGCTCAGGTCGTTGAATATCAAACGAGCTAATACAGACGGAAACAAACCAATGAAGTAAAACGGATGGAAACTTTACTAAAACAAAATGCCCGGTCTTCATTAAATTATTATTCTGCCAAGAGCTGGAAATGATATCCTCAGAAATGTATTTAAAAAAAACCACTTTACTATTTTTAAAAATTACTAACTTAATAGCTAACTAAAAAGTCAATGTATCCCATTAACTTTATCAGTGACATTATAATAGGTCTCCACAGGCTTCTAGGTCAGATTATGTCTTCAAAATTAAACATGTTTTCATAAAAAAATAAATTGTAGGTACAAATGAATATACAGTATGTATATATTCAAAAGGCAGTAAATACTCAAAAGGGAAAGAAAAAATCAGTTTCCCGAAAGCAAAAAGTTTTCCTGTTATCCATCTATTTGTTAAATAATACGGATACTACAGGACAGGAGACTTTGTCCCATATCTCCCTTTCTGTTTTAATACCTGTAGCGATGAGGTTTCTTCACCCCTCCAGTAGAGGGCGCACTCTTGCGAGCGGCTTTTGTAGCCAGTTGCTTCCTGGGTGCTTTACCACCGGTCGATTTGCGGGCAGTCTGCTTTGTACGAGCCATGGTATATAAAGACCTCCTTACTTACCTACCAACATTAAAAAAACAAAAATCACCATATGCAACTACAAAACGTACAAATTTTCCTGCTACTATTACCCTTCCCCAAATTTGGAAATTTTGATCGGTGTAAAAAAATAATATCCGTATTGTTATATAATTCGAAAGGGTGCACATTAGGTCTACCACCCAATATGACTTCTTGAAACAAACTATAGTACTAGAAAATTGTTAGCATCAATATCAATCATCTCCCAAAATGACAATTCTGAGAGACAAACAGCAAAAGACCCCCTAACAGTCTTCGATCCAATTTCTTAAATTAAAGTAGAAATTAGAAATGTCTGTAAACATTCGAGCTACAAACAAGTCGAGAGAACGAAGCCACAAACCACAGAAAGGTCGAATCAAATTACAGCAAAAAAAAAAAAAAAAAAAGGTTTTACCCGCCCCCCCCTTTCGTCGCCCCCGCCCCGCGTCTGGCAGTTGATGGATCGCTGTAAATATCTGAAAACATTCTTGGTTTTGCATCGTTACGGTTATGTTGACAAAAAGGCGTCTCGAAAAACAAGAGAGGAACAACAGCTACCACCACCGAGCATTCTACAAAGCACCGTCCTCCCGGGCTTCGCAATGAAATAAAAGTGCCCCGCACCCAGGCTTTAATTAACGCACGACATCCGCCGACCGGTCCACTCCAGCCACCACGTAAACTTTTGGTTTTGCCTCCTCCGGGTCCCTCGGCACAGGGTCCCCCAACCTGCCCGCCTCGCTCCCAGCGCCCGGCGCTGGCACCAACTCGGCTCCCAGACCAGAACAAAATGGAAACAATCGCGAAACGTATCCGATTCCCTTCCAAAGAGACAAAACACCAGATCGCTCGAAAATACCCCATACCCTGCCACGTGCCGCCCTCTAAAATGCAAAAGTTTTTTTTGCATTTCAAATGCATCAAGTTTCCGCTTCTCCAAAAAAGGGAAAAATATGTCCCTCTTTTAAATTTTTTTCCTCCTTTTTAGAAATGGGGAAGAGAGAAACGGGGGAGAAAATATGGTCGGTGACCAGAGAAGAGAGACAAGATGGTGAAGCTTAGCAACAACTGTGGGGAGGCAGCGAAAGCGAGTTACCCCAGGGTGGGAAGCGGCGGCGATTTCCACCCCTTTCCCGCCCGAAAACCGGGGCCCGGGGCCCGGGGGCGGTAGTTAAGAGGCCCGCGCGGGTCCTGGTGAAGGTTTGGGGTCCGGGGAAGGGGCGGCGGGCGGGATTTCACCGAAGAAAGAGGAGCAGGGGCGCAGGGAGGCGGCGGGAGAGCAGGCTCGGCGCCGCGGCGGTAGCTGCTGCCGGGCTGAGGCGGCGAGAGACGTGGGAGCCGCCGCCGCCTGAGGGAAGAGGGAAACTCGCTCTCCACCTCCATTTCTGGGCCAAAAAGTTTGTGGGCTAAGCCGGGGGAGCTATGGGCGCCCTCCCAGCACCGCCAGGGCCCGGCTTCGGGCTGATGGCAAGCGGGGCTCGGTTCCGGGGAATCGGGCGGACGGGGAAACTTACCCCCCTTCTCCTTCGGCTGGAGCTCGGCGAGCAAGAGGCGGCGCTGGCGCTTGAGAGCGACGGCTGCACGGCGGCGGCTGCGAACACAATTGAAAGATGGCTGACACCGAGGCTATCCCCCAACACACGCCGCCCCGCCCCCGCGCCGCGCGCCAGCCAATCACACACAATGGAGGGAAGGCTCGGCCCCGCCCCGTCACCCCCGCTCGCGCCCCGCCCCCGCCCCTCCCCCCGCGCGCCCGTTCGCTGGCGCGCGCTCGCCCCTCCCCCGCGCGCCGCTCGCTCCCTCCTCCCGGCAGCCTCGCGCAGTGTGTGTACAAACACAAAAGACACGCCGAGGGGCCGGCGGCTCCCGCCGAGACGACCCGCCGCCCCCGTCTCGCCTCCGCCCCCGGCCTGCACTCCCTCCCCGCTCCACGCACACACGTCACAGAACCCCCAAGCCCGGGTTTGGGGCGCCGAGAGGGAAGTGGGGGAGGGGAGGGCGGGAGGCGGCGCGGCGGGTGAACGCCCGGCCTGCGGGCGTCGCGGGCCGCGGCGGGGAGGGGTGAGGGCCGCCCCCGCGGGGCCCCGGGCGGTGGGGGCGGGGAGGTGGACGCGGCGGGCCGGTCGCCGCGCCCCAGTGGAAAACACTCCCCGACAGGAAGTTGGCGAAGAGGAGCCTGGCGTCCCGCGCCCGCTTTCTGACAGGGCCGCGGCGGCGGCTGGCGGGCGCACCGACGGCTTTCTTCCCGCTTGCGCCCGGGCCAAGTGCGTCCCGGCCCTGCGGCCCAGGCCCGCGTCCGCCCAGGCGGCCGCCGGTGAGCGGGCTGCGGACGGGGCGGCGGGGCGGGCGGCCCCTCGCAGGTGGCGGTCTCCGCGCTCGCCCTCTCCCTGGGCCAGGGCGCCTATGCAAGATGGCTGTGTTTTGTCAGCCTCTAAAACTGTGTGGAATATGCGGTGACCGCACCAGGGCCGGACTGCCAGTCCGAGCAGTTTGTCCTATCCCCAGCGTGGGCCTTGTAGCCCTCTGTGTTCGGAAGGGTTGCTCTGGAAAGGCAGTTGCAGAATATAGGGTAGTCAGATGTCGCCTGCAACTTCTGCATGGTGTAGAAAAGGCTGAAAACCACAGAAATAAATAAAACGTGGTGTGGGGATTATTACATTTGCCCATTTTCCAATTCTGAGTAGCATAAGAAACAGACTTTTCGTGGCTCAAGTTATCATTATTTGTCAGTTGATTAGCCTTAGAATTTCTGAACCATCCTTAGATGGTATTGGCAATGCTCCACAGCTGTGTGTGAAGGTTTTCTATAGAAGTGTCATGCAGACATCCCATAGGAGAGTGAAGGAGATAAATTTCACAGATGAAGGGCACTAACTGCTATTTGTAATCTGAAGATCTCACAAAGCATCTTAGTCATAAACATTATCCTGAAACAGATATATGGAAATCACATATAAGGGGAAGGAATGGATTTGTCCAAGGTCACTTAAGTCTTGAGGAATAGACCCAGGAGAAACAAAATAAATAAATAAATCCAGGCCTCCTGTTTCATTATTATTTAATGAATGTTAAGTGTCCGTGGTTGCTGTGCAGAACGCATGCAATCTACAATCCTGTCCTAAAAGCACATATGCAAAAAACCTAGGCTGAGCTGCCAGCAAAGAATTCTTATAATTTGAGCCAAGAAGAGTTATTTTGCTTGTTTGTTTTGTTTTCAGGAGACCAATATATTTATTGTTGGATTTATCCAGGAAGGCTGTTCTACATCGGTTAAATTCATCACATCTTCAAGAAATGTTAAATGACATGGGTAATGTCCTCTTTGTATGCTGGGTTTTCTCATAGCTCCTACTTCCTGCCTTTAAAATTTTTTTCTAACAGACAGAAAAGAACATTTTAGGTGAAATCTTGGATTATTTGAACCAACTCAGCAGTCTGTTTTGTAAAATGGAAGTGATAATGTTTATCTGTGTGATGGTAGGCCACACATTCTTTTTAGTTGTAGGTTTGAGTACTTAAGCATCTAGAGAGATGACTGGTTACCCTCCTGTTGGCTTCAGGAAGTTCTCTCAGTGAACAGATATTTATTGAGTGCCAGCTGTGTGCTGGGCACGATTCCGGGTGCTGGGAATGCAGCAGTGAACAGCACAAGCAACGTTCCTGCCCTTATGGAGTTTGTGATTTCTGGAAGCATCACCTTGTGCAGGGAAGTAGCACCTGGAGTGGGGGAAGTCAGGAGGGGCTTTGGAGCCCCAAGAGTTGCAAATACTTAGGTAAGGGGAGAAGGGGACTGTAGAGTCAAGAAAATGGGATAGGAGAGCTGCCAGAGCAAGAGGGGATCCTGGAGAGGACCCAGGGGTCAGTCTGAATTGGCTCTACTAGAACTCTTGAGCTAATAATGGCCTCAACATTTGGAGTTTAAAAAAAAATGGGGAAGGGGAGGAAAGGAACAAACCCTTATAAGTTAAAGTATTTTTCCCTAGAATAGAATACTTATGGCCACAAATTCAGATTTGTTTGTAAGTAAAAGTTAAAAAAAAAAAAAAGGTAGAATGGAAAGGATTTTCAAAGTACCACTATTCCTTTCCACTTGGCCTCTGAGAAGTTTCTGGCCACTCTCATGCTATCTCCATGCACACTTTATCACATCACCCTTTATCACATTGGTTTGAAATCTGCCATTTGTTGACTTGCTTGTTGTCTGTTTCCTCCCTGAAGAATGTAAAGTCTAGGACAGCTATGGTCTTTTTACTAGCCCAGCACTGCCCACCTCCCCAAGCTGAGCTCAGCTTGGGGCCTTTCCCCATTTGCTGTACTTCCTTATTAGGTGATCTCATCTAGTTCCATGGATATTATACACAGAAGTAGGGAGAACAGTGTAATGAACCCCTGTACCCATCACTCAGCTTCAAAAATGATCGACTAATGACCAATCATGTGTTCCATCTATACATCTACTTACTCTTCCTACCTCCTCCACTCGAATTATTTTGAAGCAAATCACAGACTACATCATTTCATCTGTAGATATTTCCATATGTGCCTCTTAACTCTATTAAAATCGGCAGATCTCTATTATTTGCACTTTGTTCGGAAATATGGATCATTTGTCCCGAGGCTCTGGATCCCAACCCTGTTTCTATAACTGTCCCTTCCCTCAGTCTTGCCCAGTAAATGGCACTACCACTTACTCAGCTGCCTAAACCAAAAAGTATATTCTCCTTGAGCCTCCCTTCTGTCCACCCCCATGGCCAGTGCTATTGGTCCTGCTTCTGAAATGCTTCTCAGAATAACCTACTCTCACCTTCCTCCTCACCTCTCATCTGGCCTCCCACAATAACTTCCTATATGACCTTTCTCTTTCCACTTTTACACCTCTGTGTCCTGTTTGTTCCATAGTATACACAGGTTAGATTTACAGCATGTAAATCGGATTAGGTCACATTCTTGCTTAAATCCTTTCAGTGGCCTCCTGCTGCTCTAGGTTGAACTGCACATGTGTGGGCCCTGGCATTACCCCTTCCTTTCCCTCAGCACTGTGCCACAGACCAGCCACCTCTGGTCCATCCAGTCCTCCCGTGCCTCAGGGTCACTCACTGCACTTGTCCTTTCTGAGGCTCAAATGTTCTCCCAGCTTTTAATAGTCCAGCTCACTGTCTTCTAAAACAACATTTCTCACCTTTCCCATGTCATTTTATTCTTAGAAAAATGACCATGTTTGTAAAGTACACTAAGGAATAGTGGAAGGGATTTGGAGTCATCCATATGGAACCTGATTTAAAAATTCATTACAGGCATACCTTATTGTGCTTCACTTTATTGGGATTCACAGATACTGCCTAGTTTGCAAATTGAAGGTTTGTGGCACCTCTGTGTCAAGCAAGTCTGTTGATGTCATTTTTCCAACAGCATGTGCTCATTTCCTGTCTTTGTCACATTTTGGTAATTCTCACAATATTTCAAACTTTTCATCATTATTACATCTGTTATGGTGATCTGTGGTCAGTGATCCTTTTTTAATTTTTTGGGTTTTTTGTTTGTTCGTTTGTTTTCTGAGACAGGGTCTCACTGTGCAATGGCCTCTTAGTGTTTAAGTGAAAGGAAGAGTCACAAGTCTTTCACTTTAAATCAAAAGCTAGAAATGGGCTGGGTATAGTGGCTCATGCCTGTAATCCCAGCACTTTGGGAGGCCAAGGCAGGAGGATCACTTGGAGCCCAGGAGTTCGAGGTTGCAGTGAGCTATGATCATGCCACTACACTCTAGCCTGAGTGACAGAGTGAGATCCTGTCTCAAAAATAAATAAAGTGAACTGAGTTCCATAATACTCTGAGGAATCAAAGGCAGTGTGTTTGTGGTCAGCATCTTTGGGTTTTTTGTTATAGTTAACTTATGGTTCCATACCTCAATCTCAGACTTTTTTTTTTTTTTTTTGAGACAGAGTCTCACTCTATTGCCTGGGCTAAAGACCCATGGCATCAGCTTAGCTCACAGCAACCTCAAACTCCTGGGCTCAAGTGATCCTTCTGCCTCAGCCTCCCGAGTAGCTGGGACTACAGGCATGTGCCACTATGCCTAGTTAATTTTTTCTATATAATTTTAGTTGGCCAATTAATTTCTTTGTATTTTTAGTAGAGACGGGGTCTTGCTCTTGCTCAGTAATCTCAGACTTTTTTGAATACTAATCCTAGTTGATACTATTGGGTGTAACTTGTCTCTACAAAATATTTAAAAAGAATAACTTAGCCGCTCCATTTTCCGGGCCTGAGTCTCTGATAAAAAAAAAAGAAAAAAGAATAACTTAGCCAGATGTGGTGGTTGCATGCCTATAGTCCCCTCTACTCGGGTGGCTGAGGCAGGAAGATCACTTGAGCTACAGGTCACAGTGAGCTATGATGGCACTACAGCCTGAGTAGTGGAAGACTCAGAGATATTCAGAGATAGAGAAAGACTCTATCTCTGAAAAAAAAAGTTAGAAATGATTAAATTTAGAAAGGAAGACATGTCCAAAGCTGAGATAGGCCGAAGGCTAGGCCTCTTGTGCCAGTTAGCAAAGTTGTGAATGCAAAGAAAAGTCCTTGAAGAAAATTAAAAGTGCTACTCCAGTGAGCATATGAATGGTAAGAAAGCAAACAGTTTTATTACTGATATGAAAAAGTTTGAGTGATCTGGATAGAAGATCAAACAGGCCACAACATTCTCTTAAGCCAAAGCCTAATCCAGAGCTAGGTGCTAACTTTCTTCAACTTTGTGAAGGCTGAGAGGTTAGGAAGCTGCAGAAGAAAAGTTGGAAGCTAGCAGAGGTTGGTTCATGAAGATTGAAGAAAAAAGCCATTGCCATAACATAAAAGTGCAAGGTGAAGCAGCAAGAGCTAGTGGAGAAGCTATAGCAAATTATCCAGAAGATCTAGCTAAGATAAACTGTTGGAGGTGGCTACACTAACCAACAGATTTTCATTGTAGACAAAACAGCTATTAGAAGAAGATGCCATCTAGGACTCAAATAGGTAGAGCAGTCAATACTTGCATTCAAAGCTTCAAAGTACAGGTCAATTCTCTTGTTAGAGGGTAATGCAGCTGGTGACTTTAAGTCAGAAGCCAATGTTCATTTACCATTCTGAAATCCTAGGCCCCTTAAGAATTATGCTAAACCTACTCTGCTTGTGCTCTGTAAATGGAACAACAAAGCCTAAAGGACAGCACATCTGTTTACAGCATGGTTTACTAAACATTTTAAGCCCACTGTTGAGACCTACTGCTCAGAAAAAAGTTCCATCCCAACTATTACTGCTTGGCTGGGCGCAGTGGCTCACGCCTGTAATCCAACACTCTAGGAGGTTGAGGCTGGAGCATCGCTCAAGGTCAGGAGTTCAAGACCAAGTATTACTGCTCATTGACAATGCCCCTGGTCATCCAAGAGCTCTTAAGGAGATGTACAAGGAGTTTTGGTTTCTTTTTGGTGGTGGTTGTGTTGTTTTTAGCCTCTTTACATCCATGGATGTGCAAGGAGATTGATGTTTTTTTCATGTGTGCTAACACAACCATTCTGCAGTCCATAGATCAGGGAGGAATTTTGACTTTCAAGTTATGCTATTTAAGAAATAACATTTTGTAAGGCTGTAGCTGCTAAACATAGTGATTCCTCTGATGGATCTGGGCAAAGTATGTTGAAAACCTGGAAAGGATTCACCATTCTAGATGCCATTAAAAACATTTGTGATTTATGGGAGGAGGTCAAAATATCAGCATTAACAGAGTTTGGAAACAATTGATTCCAAGCTTTTTGGATTACTTTGAGGGGTTCAAGACTTTAGTGGAGGAAGTAACTGCAGATGTGGAAATAGCAAGAGCAGTAGAATTAGAAGTGGAGCTTGAAGATGTGACTGCATTGCTGCAATCTGAATTGCTATAAACTTTAATGTTTGAGGAGTTGCTTGTTATGGATAAGCAAAGAAAGTGGTTTATTGAGATGAAATCTCCTGGTGAAGATGCTATGAACATTGTTGAAATGACAACAAAGGATTTAGAATATTACATGAACGTAGCTGATAAAGCAGCTAGCAGGGTTCTTCAATTACGGTAGTAATTTTAAATTAAGGTACATTTAAAATTACCTTAGTCCCCAGGTCCAGTTAATGTCAAAGAGATAAGAAATAATTTAATAAAATATAAAAAAAATAAAAAAAGAAAGAAAAAAAAATTACCTTAGGTAATAGGTACATAAAAAATACATTGTTTTTTTAGACGTAATGATATTGTACTCAATGGACTATAGTATAGTATATATTTTTTTAATTTTTAATTTTT